AGTGGGGTGGAAATCGCTTCCGAGAGTGATTGCACTGGGGTTTCCGACTGCTACTTTGCCAGTCCGTGGATAAATTTCGAGCCATTTGCCAGGTTATTTTGTGCATACACAGGCCTGTTAGGCGCACAGTGCCAGCATATGACTCGAATTATTGTCTCTTTTTGGTCTATGTAAATGTTCGCACAACATTTTCTTGGCATATTTTTGGAAAGATACGAAAAGATAACCTTATAGTTGCGAGCAACACAGACAATCTTCTTGCCCAAATTACGATAATTAAACAAGTTTGCCATCACCAATGCTGCACAGTCGTTAGTCTGCGCTGCACTCGGCAACCTGCCATCTTTCAGGAGAACCACAGTAAGATCCTCCCCACGATTTTTTCAGCAATTAATGAAACTCGGCTCGGTTTCGGTTCATGTACGGATAGCAAAAATTGCTCTTGGTGACTGGGAACGGTACCTCGGATTGTTTAAATGGTATGGGTTGGGGAAATGATTGGTAGGGAGTGGGAGGTGGTGCGGGTGTTGGATGTGGAGGTGAGGAGCAGGGGAGTGGCTAGGATAGACGGCTAGAAAAGCTGGCTTCGGCTGAGCAATATATATTCGCCTATGAGTTTAGTGGTCGAGTGGTACAGATTTGGGGAGCGGAAGTGGGAAGAAGGGGAAGTGTAGTTCTGGTTTGGTGCGCGGAGACATAGGGAGGGGAGGAACTGGGATGTAGTTGGTTGGGGAATGCATTTGTGCGAAAGCGGGAGGCGGGAGAGGAGGGAAGGGAGAGGAATGAGGCTGGAGAGGACTGAATGTTGCTTTGGAGTCAGGAACTGGAGAAAACAGGGTAAAGAAGGGGAATGCGATACAAGTCAGGAACTCGGAGACAGGAACTGGAGTCAAAAAAGAGAAAGGAACAACACAGCACCACAAAGGTAGGTGAATTAAGAGTGAATAAAAGCGAAAAAAAAGGCAAAACCAAAAAAAAAAAATAAAAAATAAAAAATCAGGGCATATGCGG